ACAGGTAGAAGTGTGTTGCATATCGATTAAATATGTAGCAGACAGACAAACAAACAAAGAACAAGAAGTGAAGTTAAAGAGAAGTGTTGTAATTAGTCTACATTTGGCAATGTACACAACGGCTGCTATTTTGCATCCCATTTTTCATGGTCCTAGCGGTCTTAGAATTAATTTTCTTCTCTACCAATTTGCTTGCAATTTAGAAAATTGTTCTAAAAGAAAGCTTACCAATATATTTACTGGAGACAGCTGTTCAACGATTGATTAGTTTCACATCAGCTAACATGAGATTGTCATGAGAGCACCGATAGACCAATTTCTTATTACATTGATTTTAGATTAGTTAAATATTTCATGCAAATTTAAACTAGTCATAAATGTTAACGATAGCAAGTCAAGAATGTTCAATGATTTTAAGGAGTAAAGAAATCACTCATAAGGCTAGATGACAATCACCGACTTTAAAAAGATTTAGACAAATCTAATGCTGCTTAAACTGTGGCCTGCGTACAAACATTTAACAGAATTTCATGAGACTGCTATAGAACTCTATTTCAAATTACGTGCATAAAAGAAATATTGCGGTCACAGCAGCGAATATGTTTTAAGCTGGAAATTTCCCATTATTAAATACCTCGTAGAAGGTAGGCGAATAATTTTGACGGACACTATTCAATAGGATACATTCTATGCAGACTAAGAAGCTATTTCCGGGACTATTTCCAAGCCTAATAATAACTTTTATCGCAATCTTACTAATTATTTATTTTTAGCGCATTAATTGTACTCGTTGCACAATTAAAGTTAAACAGATAATTTTCGACAATAATTTGACACATACGATGCAAATGAGAAAGGCGAAGCGTGCCAAACCAGACTCGACAGAAACGATGGTTACACTGCGGAATCATATATGTCAGAGACATGCTAGCTTTCTCATCGGTCGAACAGACTCCATTAAAAACTTTTGCAGCCACTTCGCCGACCGCAGCTGCAGCCAAGCCAACTTTTCCGAGCCATGATAAAGTTGGGTCGTAATAAGCTGCTAGCTGAGTGCATGGATAGCCTGTCATGCATAGCACGCTTTGGCTCTCTCATTTGCATCGTAAATGTCAAATTATTGTCGAAAATTACCTGTTTAACTTTAATTGTGCAACGAGTACAATTATGGCGTTAAAAATATGACTGGTAAGATTGTGATGAACATTAATAGTAGTAGGCTTGGAAATAGTCCCGGAAATAGTTTCTTAGGAAGCATAGAATGTATATTATTGAATAGTGTCCGTTTTATTTCACGCCTACCTTCAATGAGGCATTTAATAACGGGAAATTTTCAGCTCTAATGTAGTCGCTGCTGTGACTGCAATATTTATCTTATGCACGGACAGTGACACACGAAAGTATTGGATACATTACAGTTTTCTTCATATATCAAGTTAGAGTGCAAGATTTTACCTAACATTTGGTCTGTATATTGCTAATGGTACTAGAAACATTATACTGGAAGGATATTGAAAGGTATTAAGTGTTTAGATTTTATTCAACAAAATAAAAAATTAACTCGTGAAAAAGTATTGGGTACATGTTCAAAAATGAAGAAAAATAGCTTTTTAAGGTCATAAAAATTAGTATTTCACTTTAGACGTTCCACTAATCTCATATCATTATCTAATTGGCCAATCAGAGCATTTTGCCATTTTCTCCAAGATTTTGTGTTCCGGTGAAGATATTATTCAGCTTCATATTTAAAATTTAATTTTAAATGGCTAAAACTCGAGAAATGGCGACAGCTTTGCGTCAAAAGATCACATAGATTGTCACAAGAAAGGGAAGGGGTATCGAATTATATCCAAAGAGCTTGATCTATCATTGAGTACAGCTAGAATATCATCAAGAATCAATCATCCTGATGATATCATCCGAGCATGCTGTTGCAAACCTTCCAAGACCTGTGGTCGTCCAAGGAAACTAACAGACGATAATACAAGGTGGATTAGCAGTAAGGTGAAGAAGAACCCGTTAGTTACTCATGGTGAAATTAAAAGCGACCTGGAGAAGATGGGGTTGATGTAGAAAATCACACAATCAGCATAACGCTAAATCGTACTGGTCTTATGTCAAGATCTTCACGAAAGGTTCCTCTGCTGATGTACCGATACGTGAAAACCACAAGAATAGGGAAATCGGACAAAACCCTGGTCGGACGAAACAAAAATCGAACTTTTCAAAAGGAATTCGATCGAATCTTGACATAAGATCAGTTCGATTTATAGCTCTGCTTTTTGTGTGCTCCTGGGTCGTTCGATGTGTAAAGATCTGTTGTTCGGACGGTAAATAGCCCAAACTTTCTCGAGTTATAAGGATATCACGCGAGCGAACAATTCTTCCATAGTTACCGTCCTGGGCGCATACTTTCAAAAAAGTTATGAGATCGTAAGTTCATCAGCCAACCATTGACGGCCTTTCAAGCAAAATCCACCAATCATAGACAAGAAAATAGAGCGTAAGTACTTACGTTCACTTAGCGAGTTTTGAAAGTATGGCTCCTGGTCTTATGTCTTAAGATCTTCACGAAAGGTTCCTCTGTTGAAGTACCGACACGTGAAAACCACATGAATAGGGAAATTGGACAAAATCATGGTCGGACGAAACAAAAATCAAACTTTTCAAAAGGAATTCGATCGAATCTTGACATAAGAACAGTTCGTTTTAGAGCTCTGCTTTTTGTGAGATCCTGGGGCGTTCGATGTTTAAAGATCTGTTGGTCGGACGGTAAATAGCCCAAACTTTCTCGAGTTATAAGTATATCACGCGAGCGAACAATTCTTCCATAGTTACCGTCCAAATTGACGTCACTGACGTCGAGAACTTTCTGGTATTTCGTGAGGGAATTTTGTAATTGGTTCATTAATGTCTGACTCTCACCCTGTCGAAATTCAGGTTTCATTCTGAGGTAAAGAAAGTTAATGCATATAGCTCCAAGAGATATATTTCAAATCCTCATCATAACACAGATAACTGATATGTAAGCTGTTAATTGACAGAACCAGTAACAGATGAACATTCGGTTTTGCATTCAGAGCCTACACGTTTTTTAATTAAATGTTCAGCCACTGAGATTTTTTGATGAAACTGCTTAATTTTGTAATAACAGTGCATTGCCTGATGCCAAGCATTGAACAATGTATCTTCGGTTATGCAAGCAAGGTCAACAAAATCTGAATATTCAACTCGGTTACCTGCGTTACCTGCTCTGTTTCAGCGAAGGAGGAAAATAAAACGTAATCAGTGGTACAATAATTTAATTTTAAAACGATACAAAGCTTACAGAACCTGAAAATCTATCCACATCTAAATGAATATATAGCCATATTTTCCAGCATTGATGAATTCTTCTTGACATTTTCTAGCATTTACCGGCGTGATGAATTCTCTCACATTCACCAGAATCGAACATTCCCTAAACATTCCTCCATGTTACCATCACAACGAATTCTCCCACCCCACCATGTACAATGCATTCTTCCACGCCACCAGCACCATGCATTCATCCACATTCTGATGCCGAATTACGAAGATAATCTTCAGAGGCAGTGATAGTTATGGTAATTATGGTAGTTATGAACTTATTTGGAAAGCAAAGTTCAGCTCATTTTTCGCCGAAAAAAATCACTCGTCGATCCCCACGCTTCTTGCCAACTCAACGCTAATTTTACGCTTCGCAACTTCATGTAATAATCACACAAACAGATTCCAAAATTGTCGAAAGTTCTCACCGCTCGAAGCATCTAGTTATCCAATTTTGTACGATCAAACTTCATTACGGTCCGAAAAACTTTTCGTTTGGTGGAATGCCTGCCATTAATTTACACCAGAGTTTGTTCGATCGATGATTGTTACCCAAAAATTTTTCAGCGAACAAAAATCCTCAGTTTAACTCTCGCTCCGATTGCGCCAGGTTCACCTACCTCCGAGCCTCATATTTGCATTAGAAATTTATAATTAACGTCAATCGTTAGCTACTTTACTAAAAATCCAATGAATAAAACTATTTTGAATAAAGGAAAATCGGCGTGATCGAGAAATCAGTTGGTCTTAGTTGGTGGGTCTTCAGTTGGTTCAAATCAGTTGGTCTTCAGTTGGTTCTTCCAATCAGTTGGTTGACAGGCCTTAGGGCACACTTAGTGCCGAGTCGATGGATCTTGGAGAAGAATTGATGGGTATTATATGGCTGATTCGAGAGGTTTTACGGCTGATTAAATGAGTCCCAGATCATGAAATGCGAATATCTGTTAAAATTAAATCCAACTTTAAATGCTTCCCATGAACTAAAAATCAAATTTTAGCGTTAACGGATTTACTTACCCAATCGAGACTCAGTGTACATTCATCTCAATAAGCAAGCAGTTGAATTGTACCCCATTGCTTATTTACATAAGAAAAATCCACCACATTCTGTCGGCATCTCAATTTTTTTATTCAATAAGCGCCGAGAGCGAATTAATATTCAGACAACTGATGAATTTCGTTCAGGATACATAGTGATGATTCTAAATATTACACTGATTCAATAAATTGTATGCACATAATGCATCAATTCATACACTCTAATCGTCCACTGCATTTCAAGTCCACCCGTCTGCAGCGCTTCGACCTATACTTGTAATAGACAATATTTTAAAGCATTCAATTACGATACTTAAGGTCGATCGTTTTCTTTTTTCATTCATATCATGCTAATTCATTACTATTTAAAATGCCCGTCGCTCAAAATTGCTTGAGTTACTGCGAAAAAATTATGTCACGAACTCGGTTTTATTATTTTATTACATGAATATAATTTACCTCAACCCGAGATGTTCATAAAATTTATTAACATTGCTTACGCGAATTTTCCTTACAGAGCAATTTAATGCGTGAATATTTTAACGGATTGCCGTAGAGTTATAATAGATAATTTCTTGGAGCAGTCACATCTCTATTCCCCTTTTTTCTGGAAAATGTTGTTTTCTACCAAAATCGTGGCTCTGTTGGTGCTGGCCGCTGCAGCTGCAGACCCTCTTTGGCTTGACAAAATACTTCATGCAGACTTCAGCAGTCTGCAGCTGAGCGCCAACCAGTGTGTCCAGCTGTGTGTCAGACGCAGCTGTCTGTACGTGGTGCACGATGCAGGTAGGTGTGTGCCTCGACGTACGATGTAGGGGTGTAGGACTCAGACAGCTACGTTTTGTTCGAATAATTGATTTAAGTATGCATAGTGAAGGATATTTTGATGCATAATATAATTTTTTATACTCTAGAATAAGACATCTGATAAGGGTGATTGAACCCTTTGCCAAAGAGTAATTTCTGGTCCATCAAATAGCCAAACAATTGCTCGGAAAATTTTTTGGGCGTCGACAGCTTAAACACTCTATCATTCATTAGCGAGGTACTCAATGTCTGTTATGAATCCCTGGATGCTCGTGTGTATGAAGCCTCCCTTATTGACGCGTGGTATATCTTCGCAATGTTGTCTTCACTTAGGCTCAGACATTGTTTTCAATTTGGGTTTGACTTCACTGACGCTTCACTTCAACTTTTAACTGTTTTTTCCTTTGTGTCATTTTGGTTTTACTTCGGTTTAAATTTTGCTTCCCTTTGACTATACATTTGTATATTGCCTCTACTGTGACTGCACTTTGATTCTACGCTCTCTTCGCAATGGCTGTACTCAGGCTTCACTCCGACTTCCTTTTAATCAGACTTCTTTTTATTTTGCTCTACTTCCTTCCGACTTCCTTTTATTTTGCTCTACTTAGGCTTCACGTCGTCCTTACTCTAGCTTCACCTCAACTTTTCTATGGCTTTACTATACGGTAAATTTTCCCTAATTTTAATTTCTCTTCGGTTTCATGAATTGATGTTTTAATGTATCTGCAGCAGCAGCATTAATGTATCTGCAGCAGCAAAGAAATTGTTAAAAATATATAGATGTTAATAAAACTAAATATAGTTGAATAAAATGTTACTCCTTTAAATTTTTCGATAAAATTTACCAGTTCAACATTTAACCTCATATTTTATGTGTGTAATCAGAGCGTTGGACAGCCAAAAGCGCTGTTGTCCATGAAATAATATTTTTTGCATTCTATACAATAAAATGATGGGCTGCTCGTAGAACACATCCATCGTCTGCGTATGGCATGACTATTCGTATTCGTCTTAGTATTGCTTGATTTTAGAGATTTCCATCGAACAAACTTATTCGAAAAACTCAAGTCTTCTACAAGATTTTTCCTCTTTTATATTAGAGTCGTTTGAAAGAAATTTTAAGGGCACGTGTTATTTCCGTATTTTTACCTTGTATTCATATTTTAAGAATTTACCGAAAGTTTAAACACATCTCCACGGCTACAGAACATGGATGTCAGATGGTGACAGGAGGTGCCGCGCTGGCGACCCCTAACAGTCTCCTGCTGCGCTGCTGCTTCCAGGCGCCTCTCGTCAACGTGGCACTCGGCAAACCAACCCGCGCGTCCAGCGTGTTAAACTCGTTGTAAGACATCGAAATATTGAATATTTATTTATACATAACTTCATGTATAATATTTTGAAATGATTTCCCCATAAATAAGATCAGTCAACTTGAGATATCAAACGCAGTCAACGCAATGCCCGTTGTTGTTGTAATTGCCCATCCTGGTAGCGGCGACTAGGGAGGGGGGGGGGTGATAGGTCAGTTTTTCCTTGCACTTGGTGCCGCTGGTAGCTCTACGACCATCACTGGCTCAGTGGCCAGCCAAAATCAGTTTATTGCATTACACAACACCCTGGACAAGCCAGGTACTCATTTATCAACCAGAGTTGGATAAATGGCTGAGTTGACCATGAGCTGAGCTTCCCGGTAGAACTTGTCCTCAGTGGGACTCGAACCCGGGCGCTGCGTGCGAGAGACAGAGTCTCTCACCACTGCACCACCACAGCTCACGCAATGCCCGTCGGTGCTGCCGTAGCAATCAAACATCAACTCCAGTTCAAATCCTACGACAGCGTTTGTACATACAGCTGGCAATGACAATAGACATGAGAGGATCCAACATGAAAGGCGGCCCAAACTACGGATTTCATAAATTACATAGATTTCCGCGCACTCTATAATGCGCCCCTTCCCGTATGTCTGCGACAGGTCAAAATATTATCAGAACTTAACTCTGCGATACTGTGGCTCTAATACCACTGGGCAACTACACTTTAAAGCTAAAAAAATCATCATCACCTACAATAGTATCACATCTTCAGATACTGTCTGGCATATTGAATGCCAAATCTGATGGTCTCCTATCAACGATATGTTCGTTTCTCGGCAAGTAACAGTTTGTGGTACATCTCTGATCAGAGTATGTTTGCAACCTTTTTCAATGACGAACTTGATACATACGATTTCAAGTCCAGCCCAATTCTGAGATCCGCAACCCTGCACATTGTAAATAATGGTATTTAATAACTGATCGAGACTAATCATTTACGCACGAAAATAATTGATTCACAATACAATAACTTTTTACCAAACGTGATATATGATTATCAGATTCTATCATATAACTTGATACGATTCAATAGAACATCTTACCAATAAAGGTAGTGTAAGTTGGCTCGAAACTCAAGTGTGTAGGTGAAGGTGCAATGACCATCGTTAACAATGCCTGGAAATAGGTTGCTCTCGTTCAGGACCGCTCAGTAACGATTGATCTATATGACATGGTTTATCGCTCTTGTCGAGCGTTTTCATTCGCTGCCTTCTAAAATATAATTTACAACCTTAAAAACACGTTCTTACCACATTCCTACATGCATACTATAGCCAATACATCTGCAACCAAACGCCAAAACCGATTCATGCGATTCTTCCAACAAGTCAACTTCTACCGGGCTCAATAAACAACAATCTCATAAAAAACACACAGTACTTACGCTACTATAGGCCCTAAACTTGATGCAATCGTCAAAGACAGTCTTAGAAAATTAAACACTACACGTACAAACGCCGCTGTAATAGTTATACTCTCGACTGCACCTCTATGTCAACACCTGCAACCAGCTTACCGCCATGCCAAGACATGGCAGATCATCAATTCACTGGAGAAGCAGAGATCAGGAAAGAAATTTTTTTCATGAAGCAAATGTTAGGATCTAAAAGCGAACAAACTGATACTTGCCAAAACTCCTAATATTCACAGCAGTCCAGTAGAGGATGGTGAGAACCATACTAGAACGAACCATGACAGGAAATCTTCACTAAGGGCGATGCACACAATGGTCTCCTTTATGACAACGACATTGTTGACCAACAGATTTCTAAACTAAAAGAAAAACTGACTTTCTACGAGGGCTCCATCTCATATTTGAATCATTTCAACTGATTGTACACGGACAAAAATACGTACATAGAAACACGCGTCGACATGGGGCTGCGATATGTAAACAGCACTAAAAAAAGATACCGTATATCAGACACAAACATGAAATAGTCGAACTAAGTCACACGAGTCGACAACTTTTGCTGCCTCGCAGAAGCTTCTTCGCCCATGACCTCCAACCAATACTACACAGAACAAACTCCCCTCCATTTGCAGAAAATAAAACACTAAACACGAGCAGGATGCCACCCACATAATTAAGCAAATTCACAACACGCAATCCAACAGAACAGCCAATGCAGATTTAATTGGCTAATATACGTAGATCAGCAGAAGAAATAATCTTCATTTTTTTAAGGCACTTTTCCATTACGGGACTGATTCAGAAGGATTGAGACATGGGTGAACTATATAAGGTTGACCCACGGCGATGACGATTTTTCGCCGTTCAGCGCATCTCTAGAGTGACGTCACTGTGGGACCCAAAATGTGAATAGTGTAGAAATGTAGATCAACACGTCGTTTTTATGTCACCTTTGAAAGCATATAAAAATTGGCCTCATCAAAATAGCTCAAAAAATATTTAGTGCATGTAACTAGTCTTATTTTAAGCAAAACCGGTGTTACAAATCAGTTTGACGTCACATGAGCCAGAGTGACATCACAGTTGGAATGACAAATGGCATCCGCAAGGAGCAGCTGCGCGTGGGTCAACCTTGTATATTAGTTCAACCATGGATTGAGACTGGCCTGGGCCCAATAAGCCACATGGCTAGGCCTCAAAACCTCAAGCCACATATGGCTAGGCCGCAATGATCGGCTCATAGTCTAATCAAATTTTTGAAAAAGGGCCAAGCCTCAAGCATCGGGCACATTCAGAAAATCTGAAGACCAACCCTACACAGGCAAATCATGGGTTTGCCATTAGCTCCAATTTGAATCGTTCCTGTTTTATTAATAACAACATAAAAAAAACAGCCTCAACAACTTCCTTCTACTATACCTATAGCCATCGAATTGTCGAACTCCCTCAAGGCACACTAATTTTCAACTGCTCGCTTTAGTATAGGTTAGGAAAGTTTTTATAGAAACGTTTTAAATAACGAAACAATCTACGACTATCTTCTTCAGCCTTTACTTGATTTAGCTTAGCCCTGGAAAAATAAGCATGAGACGTTTTCTTAATATCTGGTCTTTTATTTTATCTATGTCTAAATATATTTTCTAATCTCCCAGCCTGCCCGGACATTCAAATGACGGAGTTTTTTTGAATTCATCAAATTTCTTCTCCTCACTGAATGAGATTCGCGCTTTCCTTGTCATCGACTTGCAACAGGAATATGCCATCGAAGCGGTGGCCCTCATGCCTAGGCTTAAAAATTTCGGATCAAATCGTTTCAAGTACATCGAGGTATGAAAAACTTACGAGTAAAGCATGCTAACTGCTCATAATTGAAATTAAGCTAGTTATAGAATATTCCTACATAAATATTATTATCAGTGACGACTAATGCTCAAATCGACGAAATGCATTTCCAGTGGCAAGCATCTTTGATGGTTGGCTCAAAGTTTATACGATCATTCAAAGCATTTAAAAGCAACTATAAATCACGGGTGATGGAGCCGAGGTTGTTTCAATGTATATTAATATTTGTTACATGCTTATTGATGGCCTACAGTTACGCAATGTACAAACTCATCTTTGAACTAAAAGATTACACTAATGTTCTACAGCCTTCGTGAATTATGCAGTGATACTATTTACAGTCAATTGTTTTCTTCTGAATTTATTCCTGACAGATTCGCGCAGGGCTGACCAATGTTACTGGCCCAGACTTCAGCTCGTACACGCTACTGGCGCTGTTCCCTGGACCTGCTCCCGACCCAGGGATCTGGGTCACCAAAAACCTCACCACCCCGGTACTGGGTCGCTTCATCAGCCTTCAGAGGACTGCAGTCCTTGCAGACTACCTAGAAGCCGCCGAGCTGATGGTCTACAGCAGACCATAACAGGACTGCAGTCATTGCAACTACCTAGAAGCCGCCGAGCTCATGGTCTACAGCAGACCATAACGGGACTGCAGTCATTGCAGACAACCTTGAGGTCACCGAGTTTAAGGTCTACAGCTGACCATAACATTACTGCAGTCATTACAGACAACCTTGCAGGTCACCGAGTTTATGGTCTATAACAGACCATAACAGGACTGCGGTCCTTGCAGACAACCTTGAGGCCACCGAGTTTATGGTCTACAGCTGACTATTTTCGGGACTGCAGTCCCAGACCAACTTAAGGGAGCTAATGGCCTACAGCCGCAAGTAACGAGCTCACTTTCATCACCAAAGTAAATCTTCCCCCTTAAATTCCACAGCTGCTCATTTAGATCTCTGACTTCATTTAATTGGGTCAGAATTTTTAACGCAGTTTTTAAAAAATGAAACAAATTTTTAAATTTGCTATCAGTTTGAGCGGAGGAATCCTGAAAATGTAAATTGTACTATGCTTTTATTATTGTACTTCATAGAAATAGTGAAGTAGCAGTTACCAGTAATAATTTTACCCGCATTCATATTTCCACTACAACTGAATAAAATTTGAAGATCTCTCCTCTGTTGGATCAAAAATTTTGCGTAATTAAAAATAAGAGCCAAGACTTGACACGTTGCTTTTCATCTTAATTGTGCAGGCTTTCGGTTTGGAACTTTCCCCACTTATTTTTTATACAAGCTGTGTTCGTTTAAAATTTAAACTTCGCCAAATTGAAACGAATCCAACATTTTCTACTTGGAAATTATTTTTTTTTTCGTTTCACCCAGATTTACTGAAACGAAAGCTCCGTCAATACAGATTTGAATTTCATGCTATGTTGATGGATTTGTATCGATCATTTTATATCGATGGAGTGAATATAGATACATTTTTTGACGCAAAACATTAATATAGCGAATCTACACTGAATACTTATTATTGTTCATACTTATATGTGTGAATAACAGTTTTATTACTAATGCTTATTTCAATAATATGAATACTTACATTAATTATACGCTATATTGTATTATCATTTTTTTAACTATGAAGATTACAACTAGGTACAGTATATAGCCAACTATACTTCTCACGCATCGTAATCTTCTCTTTGTGGATTGCACATATTATATTAGACCAGGAAGCAGTCCTCGGACGTTAGAATAACGTTTATTAACCGTCGTAACAACGTTTAATAAACGTCGTTCCTGTTCCTTAAACGAGAACTTGTTCTGAGTACAGGTGGGTGCGAATGAGTGCACCAGAAGCATGCCGATGAATATAGATTCCTGGCACTCGTGAACTAGAAGCTTCTGTTGATATGGAGATTGCGTAGTTGACATCTAAAGATTCAGACGCGACAACACATGATGCAGGATTAAGTTATCGGTTAATTAAGTTATTGTGTGCCGTGAAAACAATATATATAATCATCAGTAGCTAAAGTATGAGTTACCCTTCCAGACGAGGTTTCTTTAAACAATAGATTTCGTGCAAGTATTCCCAGAGGCATTAGAATGTGAGTGTAATAAAATAATATAGATAGATATTATATATATATATATATAATAATAATATATTATACAGATATTACAAGGCAGCGAGTATAATAATATATTTTCTTTCGAATTCGTTGACAGGATAAAATGCACTAGATTAACTGTCTGAAGTGTAGTAGCAAAATTGAAAATTAACTCTCATCTCTTATAGGCAGTGCTCAGTTATCATGGGAATACTCTAGTTCAATACCCAGAGTCTGTACACGAACTCAGCCTTCAGAGCGTTCACGCACTCGTTAACCAATGTCCTTGCGTGCGCATTGAGTTTAAAATAGCAAGGCCCCTTCTTCTAGTTACTTTAATAGAAAAATAAAAATATTTTGCTTAAAGTCGCCGAATTTCGAAGGGGACTATGAAGATAAATTGATCCAGGCCGGCTAATCGTAACAGTGGTGATGTCTCGTATGAGTTGGGAAATTAGGGATAATTACTTTGAAAAGGACTGTCTTAGCCGGCATCGATGGAGTGAATATAGCTGCATTTTTAAATTATTTATTATTATCGGTACATTCTTTTACGTTTCCTGTTTTTAGTATTAGGTAAACTTTATATATTTTCAGCGCATTTTCTCATTTATGGAAAAAATGCACTATTGTGCTCGCCATTTCCGTCCGTCTGTCTGTCCGTCCGTGACTTCACGTTTTCGTCGACGGGAAAATGCGCTCTCTGTCACTCACTGCAGTGAGTACTGAGTTATATTTTTTCTCCATACACCTGATGACAACATCATTCAAATAACCGCCACATCTCGCAGGGAGATTATTAATTATTCATCAGCTCGACACAAGCGACGGCTAGGTCACGTTTGTATCACCCCTCTTCCAATTTCAAATTTTGACTTCGAAACATTAATTTAACTTTGTCGTGACTTGGCCTTTCCTATAGTCTTATTATATTATATTAGTCTTATATTATAATGCCTTACATATAGTGTTATTTATGTTTATTTACTTTGTCTTTCTCACACGCAGATGTCAGTAAATTTATATATAAAACTTGCACGCTTAGAGCCTTGAGAGAAAGAAATTCATCGATAGTAAATTTCACATTCAGGACTCAAAAATATAGGACCAAGCACATACGTACGTAAGTTATGTTGTGATCAATTTTAAAGTCGTTCTTATTGTGACCAATCATTTTCTTGATCTTATTTGAAATATTGTTCATATCAAACTACTTCATTTAGTTAGATCTTTGATTCCATTGTACCATCCTTATTTTCAGGTCCACTGTGTGTGAGAATTAAACAAATATAAAACCACCAATAACTGGACCTGGTTTTACTCCCTACGCTGGCTAAGCCAAATGAAGTTATCCCTCGATTTTTTATACATTGACTCTGCCATTATATGATATATTAGTTGGCTCATGTGCTACAATTTAGATTTTATGCCTGCAAGTTGTATTTGCAAGGCCGGCCATGGATGAATGAGCTGCTAAAACGCTTTCATTCAAACTTGAAATAAATCATACTTAGTTTCCTGGTACTCAATGCTTTCTTATTTCTATGGAACGTTATGTTAATAACGGAAATTTAGAATTGATGGAAATTCGCAGCATTATTTTTTCAAGTTTAATTCAACTTTTCGTATATTGATAACGTAAGATTGATGTTATAGAATAAAACATGTACCTGCAGACGATCTACAGGACCAGGTGCTATGACTAATGAATTCAACTGAAGCCATCATAATTTATTTATTTCGTTACCGCAATTTTATAAACGACACATTTTATGGCCATTGTTTCAGTGTGGTGCATGTGATGGAAATTCGTGTAGAATCCAAGCGGATGGAATTCCAGGCGGTGATGGAAATCCGTGTAGACTCGTCAGATTAAATCCACCACAAGACAATTTAGATTTAGCACCATTCAACATCATTAATTTAGCATCACAACACTTCCAGTTCAACAAATCATCTGAATAATAAAAATTATTTAAAATCTTCTGCTGTACTTTAGGCATTTTAGCATAATTCAGAGCATTTTGTCACAGCAAAAATTCGCAATGCTTGGAGCTCCGAAAACGTGAACCTTGAGACGGCAATATCTCGTGTTGAAATCCTCATCAAGCCAATGAAATCTGAGAAAATGACGTTGCTCAGGTGGAATCTTCACCTGGTAAAACATCTTCTGTACGTCACCAGTGAATGCACAAGCATCAGTACTAAGTCTCAACAACACCGCAACAAGATTGTTTGTTAGGTCAGCGTCTTTGAACGACAAATTGCGCCATTAGGGCCAAATCCATGATACATTAGATCTGATCCAACACCTATTTGACTTAGAAATTTTCGCCCCCAATTGTCCGCGATTCTAATGAAATTCTAAGAAAAGAAAAGCCAGGGTGCGACAGCGACAACAGCGCTGTGGCTCTACAGTAGTTGAGAGGGAGTTTTCGATGGAAGGAAGGATCTGGGTCCAAATGTTGCTGAGACGCTAGTGAAACCGACTGGACATTTTCGTACAATAAAGGTAGTCTATACCGAGAATGTGTTGTGGAAGTCTTGATTTTCAGCTTCGGAGTGGAAGTAATGCAAAAACTTTTTGAAAGGTCTTGCCTCTACAAATCTGAATGAAAGATTCATCCCTAAAGGATTTTATCTCCAAGTCACCTCGTAGTTGCTTTGGATCTCTGGATTCGGACTGATGAAAACGACTTACTTGATCACACACTTGCTAATATTTTAATTTTCTTGCGTGAGGTTTCGTGGTTTGTTGATTTTCCCATTGATTTTGAGCCATTTTTTTAGAATAGGTATATTGATGATTGTACTGGAGTGACTTAGATAAAAGAGACTACATCGCTGTGACCACGCCGCATGGCTGTGGTCAAGGGACACAGCTCAACTCGCGGCCTCATCCTTGCCGGGCTAGGACTGGAAATACACATCCTTGTTCGTGTCTGTGTTTGTTACCTCACTAAAACATACAATGATACCTTTCTGATCTTCAAGCATCGCACTCATGCGAGCCCTCTCTTTGATTATCTAACCTCAAACATTCTTCAATAAAATTTACTATGGAATTAGAAACCAACAATAGCTTAAGTAAACGATAGCTAAAGGACCTAAATCTGGCAGCTGTTTTCAGATCTCCGTGTATCGAAAACTAACATTTACCGGCTTAGGTATGAGCTTCTTTAGCTTCTGCTCGTTTCGTTTCAAACTGAATAGTCTTCAAACTTTGATATACCGCGGTTATAGGGTTTGTTCCACCTTCAATGATATGCATTCGGAATTCGAATTCATGCGTAATATATTTAAGCTGAATGGTTTTCCATCGTGCCTTTAGTTTAGTAAAATCAAACGCTTTTTATCTAATTAATTTTGTGAAATAACGATTGGATGCGTTAGTAAGAAAACTATTCATTGCGCATTGCCTATTTTGGTAATGCGTCTGGACCTATGTCCAGAGAACAT